GTACTTGCTCCTCACGACTGATGTAACCAAGGAGGTATCATGCGTACTTGCTCCTCACGACTGATGTGACCGAGGAGGTATCATGCGTACTTGATCCTCACGACTGATGTGACTGAGGAGATATCATGCGTACTTGCTTCCATATTACATTTTTTACTTTGAAGTGTGTATGTTGGTTAGCTGTGAAGGAGTTTTGGCTTTTGAAGGCAAATTAAACCTTCATGCTAAAAGGTTGAGACAAATCTGAGTGATAGGCACATATGTTCAGATATATGTACGATGTAAAAATAGTGGATAAACAACTCTCATGAATTGAATACATTGTGTGTCAGCCCCTATTCTGGGCAAAACTAGGCTTCAAGTATACTTGATCCATTTCAAATTTTCCTTATTCCCTTTCAGGTGCAACATACTTGAGGAGCCCACCCCCAAAAATTCCCTGAATGGAACCTGTATCCAGATGGTTGATAGGTCAGTCCAAATTTATCTCAATCCATTTCAAATTGTGTCCTTGCTGTTGTTTCTGGAGTAGGAAGAATGCCTGATTCATGAATCTGTAACCATGGCATCTGACAGTGTACAATGCCCAGCTATATTGGCAAGATGAAACACCTTTTACCAAGAATATTGACTGGTAAACCTACTGAAGACAGCAAGATTATTTTGTGCCCAAACACTTGATTTTGAAAAAAGAAACAATGTACCGGTATATGAGCCCAAACTTTTCATGATATTTCTTACCATAACCCTACCTACATGTACCTTGGAGCAGTATTTGCTGTAATTAGCTGCATGCAAGAGCTGCATCAGGGTACCACACATAATTAGCCTTCACAGACTTGCTAGATAATATGTGTGTGTATAAAACCAGCTGGGTCAGTTAGAGTAGGAAAACATGCACATGTCAGCTACTAATACATGCATATATTGACAAACTGTGTTTAGATCTCCATATTACTGTCAAGCCCTGTTGTAAGTGTATAAGTCCTCTGGTGTAAAATGGTTCAGAATAATGACTGACTGTGATAGGGGTCTGAAGGGGAAGCATTCTAGCTTCTTATTTGATGTGCACTATACTAGGTGCAAAGTTAACAGTTGGTTTATATGATTTAAATTTGTCATGTGTTTTGTCCTGGAAGAGTTCATTTGTGTATTTTTGGAAATTTGGTGAAGAACATTTCAATAAAGTTATCTTAGTAATTTTGTATATCAACTACAGTAGTTTATGCTGGTGAACTCTTTTTGCTAAACACTTTGACAAATTGATTTCTAAATAGGAAATTTTGCAACTTCTTTCAGCAAAAAAATTGAGTCCTCTTCAATTCTCTAAATAGAGTTTTAAACGGAAGAGCTTTTTGTGTTGTTCTCCTAACGAAAAGAAGCAGCTATTTTTGTATTAATTAGTAAACAGTAATTACTGATACTCTGCCCATCAACTCCTATCGTTGATACTATAATTCTGCATAGCATGAATCAAGGTGTCTTGTGAAGTTATTTTGGTGTGGAATGATTCTTAAATTGGAAATATTTAGGTTGTTTTTAGCAATGTTTGGGTTTTTTTTTTTTGAAAGAAAGGTAAACTAACTTTAACTTTTAGAAGATTTTCTAAGTGCTTTACAATTATTTTGAATGAATGTGAAAATAAACTGCTGTATCTGTACATTTGGAGTGCAGTTTTTGAGGAATTTAGGGACTATTTTAATGGTATATGCACTGACTGGTCAACTCTTTGATTGATTGACTGACTAAAATGTTATTTGGTAAATAACAAAAACTTCCAAAAGCAATTTTGATTGAGAATAATTTAATTTCAGTTCACTAAATGTTTCAATTGTAAAGTTTGTACCCTGAATGCATTTCAAACGATTTAGTAAAAATGATCTTTAATAAACTACATGTATATAAACCCCTCTTTTCTACATTACAGTCCTGCCAATAGTTTGCTAATTCGGGCAGTTCACAATTGTGCGCCTCCAAGAGTTTGACTTGTTGGCCAATCATGATGTGTGAAATCTGTTGACCCTTTCAAAATGTACATTGGGTTGTTAGATTTTGCGCGTTGTGATTGGCCAACACATTAAAAACTCTTGGAGGCGCACTATAGTGAATCACCCGTATTGTGGCAAATAATTGACTGTGTTAAAAAAATGTCACTCAGCCATCAAAACACAAAACCCAATCTACTGAATGCTAAATAATGCATATTAAGGCAAAAGCTGTTACCAAGAATAAATTTCTTTCAAACTTTGGCCTCCCAATAAGAGAACGGTCTATCAAGGTCAAAAAAGGAACAAAGGTTAGAGTGAAATGATCGATTGACTGAGAGGCTGGAGCCCATATGACATACAAATGGACTGTAAAATAAGATATGAAATAATGTAATATTCAGTTTCACAACTTAAGAGCTTTTCTCGGGTTTTGAATTTTTTGTTTGATTTCATTTCCATATTGTGAAGTGACTCATGAGTGTGTAGATGTTTAAGAAAAATATTTACGAAATACAAGGCTTTATGTGTTTTGAACATCAGCCTAACAGATGGTCACTTTTTGCTTGTTGATTGTTTGGTAAAAGATACTGCACAGTCAGAAAAAGAAGTCAAAGCATCTTTTCAGGTGTTCTTTCAGTAGACTGTCTTCTTACATCCCATCCCAGTTCATCCTATCTGTATCTTGTACTCAACGCACATTACTTTATTGCTGTTTCCATCAGTAATCTCAGCTATTATGTGGTACCTCCCCTGTGGACAATTAAAAGAAAGGAATAATGTTTGATATCTTTGTATTTCTGATGTCACAAAATAAATCTGTCTAATAAAAAAAAGGAGTTTTGAAAAAAAGGCAGGCTTGGGTGTGGCTTTTAACCCTGCAGCTTGTTAAATGTGCTGTTTTATGTACACCATCTGCTTGGGTAGTGACTAAACGGGATTTAAACTATTATCGACAGTGCTCCTTCCTCAACCAACCAACCCCCCCCCATGAAATTGGTTATGCTCGGGAGCATTTTCGAATATTGTAGTTGCAGTATATAATGAAATAATGAACTGGGTAAAAAAGATGCAGTTGATTGCAAAGTTCATAGAAACCAAAATGATATTGATTGAAGTTAAGTTGACCTACATAACTTCATCGACTTGTGTATTTCACGCTCAGTGGGAACTTTGAACTTACATTAAGGAATGGTGTCATGATGGATGGAAGACTGGTTGTATCAAGAAACAAACGAACAGGTTCTGTGCTAGCGGTATTGTAGCTTGAGCCAGCTGAGGCAAAGGGACAGCGGCATGGTAGTCCATTACTCTTGAACTCACTGGGGCAACCATAGGTGGTTTCAAGATGCTCCATGGCTGAGCATACATCGTATTCACTGACAAGTGAAAACAATGAACGTTGAACGCTGTAAAATCTTCACATTTTGAAACTTTGAAATCTTTCAAAGCAATGAAGAATAACTATCTGATGACAATCACTGTGCTTTGTTTGTAATCGTGGCGATGATGTTGTATAATAGCTTCCGGAGTTATTGCAAGTGCTGAATAGGTGATTTGAAGTACGGCAACTTGCAGCGCCCACAATGACAACAGGGGCAAGTTAGAAAGAAAACTGTTACTAATATATAACAACATTTCAAAAAGTGAAACATTGAAGGAGATTGTATGAACCAAAAATGCAACAAGAAAGTCTAATGGTTAAGCTTAGCAGGGCGGGTGCCATGCTGTGTTTGGCCAAGAAATTGGCAACCAACCGACCTTTGGATGAGCTTGATATGTGTGTGGAAAATCTATGGTCACTTTTCGATGTGATAATGAAATCATGTTTCAAACTACATAAACATAACTTACATAAACTACTTTAATTTTTGTATTTCTACAGTCACATGATATAGTAAGAAAGCCAGGGCATTATTGCTAGGCCTTACTGTAGAATTGCTTGCCATGCCAGTTAAAGCAGGCTGGAACGTGCAGTAAGGATCCTTTAAAATTAGTTACTTTGGCTCCCCACAGCCGAGGGTGGCAGATTCTAATCCCGAAAAGTCAGTTGTTACATGCCAAATCAATTCAAAACTTTCTATGCATGTAAAGACACCCATACCATATGTAATGTTTGAAGTGCGTCTGATGCAGTGTGTTGATGTTAGCCTAAGGTTGAAGTTCAAGCCTCATGCGTGTCGGCCCTATGGTCGGCCCGTGTGCATTGAGCATGGCAGTGAAAAAAGTATGCATTTTTGACTGACCTGTCTCAGGAAAATAGGTGTTGAGCGAGAACGGTATTTCCATTTTTTTTTTAATGTTGCCAAAATGACGCCGAATGTTATTAAATACTCCCTGAAGCTCGGCATGTGACAAAATGTATTGCTGTGATATTGACGAAAATGTTGGTGGGAGGAAATTTGCCCACTGGTTCTATTGGGTAAATGAATTTCATAAATGGTAAATTTTATAAATTGTCAGTTATTCTTTACTTTTCAGTTTCAGAATAGTTTTGGAATTTTGATTTGGTTTTGTGGTTTTTCGATTTAAAATATGTGGAATGATCTCAGTATGTTTTTCACTTGTTCCAATATATAGAATGGGAAGCACTCATGCCTAACATGTGCACAATATTCTTTAAAAAAGTTTAGTCGAAAGTGCAGCAGTTTTGTCTGATTCCTGCAGGTTCTTACCAGCTTCCAATAGGTAGACCACCAGAGAGCAAACTCAAACATGGTATCCTCATCTTCCAACCCCAAAACATCACCTTGTTGATGGTCAGGGTCAAGGTCAAGGGGTACGTGACATTTCTTGTAACCTCTGAACCCAAGTCCACAGTCACATGATCATTCAGCTTAATAGGGTCAGGGGCGAAGCTCAGATCTCCAACTTGGAGTGCTGTGTCAGCTAAAATGAGAACCATGCAATTTGAGAGGTGTCAGTGGGCTTATGACATGTATGATGGTGAAAACCAAAGCTAACAGATGAATGTAAATACTGGCTTCATGGTTTCAGGAACATTTCCTCAACAATTCCACGCATGTGATTTAAAGCTTTAAACCAACTGTCTTTAAATAGACCAAAGTTACGAAAGGACCTAGTACTTTGCTTTACTAAACCCGGGAAGCCACTGCCCTCATCCGCTTAAATAAGCGACGTTGAAAGCTTAAAGGTGACATTGGAGAGATTAAAAAGTTCGCATATACCATATGATAAACCAAACCTATTTGCAATCTTCTGGATGGTCGTAAAGAATTGATAAGTTTGCATTAGCTGTTCGCTTCGTTAGCGCAAGGGCGTGGAGATAGGAAAATAGATAGGAAATAGAATAAACATGCAGTCCTTATTCATATTCAAGAAAAAACAAAACGAATGGCGTTTTTGTACTGGAGCCTACACATCGGCCTTACGCTATCTTTGTTCAAGCATGGTTCAAGGTTAAACTACAATCATGGTACTTTTGTTATAGTCATTTTTGCATATTGTAGCCAAGTGATCAACACAAACGTTTTTGACGATAATCATGGGAGATTACTCCTCGGTTATTAGACCTGCTAACTAACAACAGTATATTGGATTAATTTGTGTATACTGTATAGTACAATTTTACTATTGAATTTTTAGTCATCCGAAGTTCGCTTTTTTGTTACAATTGTGAGGATTCTTAACGTATACGCCTTTAATTAGCACGTTTGTCCTGTTTCTATCATTCAGTTCTGCTCGAATGAAAGTCTGAGATTTATACTGCATAGTCCCGCTATTCTTTGGAAGTCTGCAGAATTTGCTGTCTTGCGATAGTGAGCATCCCGCTAAGCGGTCACTTACCCGTTGAAGAACATTGCTTCCAAGAGAAATAAGAACCTTCACTTCCAAAAATCAAGCAGAGCGCCACTAGAATGATCGTCACAAGGATGGGTTTCATCTTTAAATTTAAAGTTAGAATTTAGAAATTCTCTCACCAACACTGATCGCTTGTATTGTGCCTCGAACTATTCTGCGAGAACGGACACTGCGTGTTGTACTAATAAGGCCGGCACTAGTCAAAGTGCGTTAGCTCTTCTGTCCATTGAACTTGCATAATGCTTGATCGAGGTCGACGGACTTTGAAAGAAAAACCAAGCTGACTTACGATAAGGAAATGTCCGAGTCCTTGTAGATTTTGGGGCTACGTAAACTCGCAAAATCCGCATTGTCACATTCCAAAAATATCAGGAGATGTCCGTGTTGCTTTTAGCAAAACAGTAAATGCATTTGTAGTTGTTAGCAAATCACTTGGTTTTTGTTGTGGTTTCATTAACGATGATAGTGTTAATTGGTGGTGCAAGGAACACCAATATTCATCCCCTTTTATTGACTTCTTATCATACATACACAAGGCCAAAGTGGGGAAAGGTCACTTGATTTAAGCTAGGCCAGGATTTTAATGCACTCTCCATTGGTCACAGTGCCATTCTTATACGAATATTAAATTTTTTACTAACATTTATACTCAAATTGCCAAATGATGAGTAATTTTCATCCCGCTGCTGTATATGTATAGTTCCCCAATATTTCAGCTGACAAAAACAGGAAATATGTACGCGTCAAATTTGGCAACAAAAACTTTTGTGCAGGTCCGATTTAGCGAATAAATTGTTCAGAATCATTGTGGGATCGTAGTAGACAGTGACAGCTCCATTTCAGACAAGGTGGCCATGGAATTTATTGCCTGAACCTGCAAATCCTTAGAATGGTTTATTTGTGATCGCAACCTCTTTCTGCAGACTTTACCCTGCGCTGAATGAAGGATTCAGCGCTAGTAGGAAATCAACAAATGTTTTCCCAACACTCTTTTGACCTAATGCTCAAGTGACCCCTGGCTCGAACACCAGGCCTGCCAGGAGAGTTGAAATGTAAGAACTAGAATCCCCTTTGTTCTGGAAAAATTATTCCCATATATGGTCAAAAGGGGTTACTTGCTCACCCCCCCCCAAAAAAAAACCCAGAAAAGTAAAGGGGAAGAGAAAAAAGCAACAGATATTTAATAAGAAAATGAAAGCGTATGAAAAGAACAATTTATCTTTTTAAAAAAAGGAAAGAAAACTCAGAACGACCCCAATGGTTTGTCACTTTGTTAACTGATGAGAACTTTGCAAGAATAAAAACCGGAAAAGAATCTTGGCGGCGCCCATGATTGGTCACCTGTGTTTTGACACCGAGCACAAACTGTATCGGGACCCTTTCCTCTCCTCAAATCACCCCCCCCAAAAAAAGAGACCGTAGATCTTATAAATCATAACCTGTACACGTATGAACCTGTCCAAGTGTCACAAGCGCCTTTATTATTATTATTATTAATTTTGGATTTTTTTGCCCTGCCCGACGTGTATTTTAACACTGTATGCTCATTGTTTGCCTCCGAAGGCTTGTGAAAAAAAAAACACAAGCGTACTAGGGTGGGATTCGAACCCACGACCAGTACAGACGTCTTAACCACTCGACTACCGAGCTCGCCGAGGTCGGCTGGCTTGTTCCAATTAGATGTAGCAGCGGGTACTGCGAACAACTATTTCAAGGATGGATTTGCGCTGGGGAGTTGTAAATTAATTTTGGATGTTTGCCCTGCCTGAGTACGGTTGTGGGTTTTTTCACAAGCCTTCGGGGGCATACAATGAGCATACAGTGTTAAAATAGACGTCGGGCAGGGCAAAAAATCCAAAATTAATTTACATCTCCCCGGCGCAAACCCATCCTTGAAATCGCCTATTATTATGTTGTCGAATCAACATAAGAGACAATCTTGGGCAAGGATGCGAACAGTGGCGTATCCAGCGGGAGGGGGGGCAAGTTGTCCCCTTGGAGACATGGTTTAGAAACTTATTCACCACTGCTCTTTGGGAGGACCTTTTTGCGGATTTGACAGTCATTTTTTGGAAAAAAAATCCCACTTTCTGTCCCCCCGGTCCCCATCAGACCCAAGACCGACGTACACCACTCGACGCGAGTATCTTAGCCTCCATATTTTTGCTTTTGGGAGAGGGAGGTATAATGATTGAACTCTTCCTCTGCTAGGAACAGGCTCATCGTTATTGGAAAGTTCTTAGAGGTTTCAGGCAGGACAAAGGAGTGGAAGCTACCTATTGAACCCCCGCAGATAAATGTCCAAAACGTTCAAAATAGCATCTGTAACCACGAACTACAGTGACGGATCCAGCATCGACAAATTGGTGATAATGTTTGACTTGAAATGTAATCAGCTAGTTGGTAGAAAAGAACTGAAAACCGAAAGGGGAAAGTATCTTTCCGATGAGTCCCTGTCCCAGGTCCACCCCTCGGTGAACTATACGCAGTAACCTACAGCGGCTTCCCCCGAAACCTCTTGGACCTGTTTGTGGGTGTGAACGAGTTCCTTTCTGGTTCCAGAACAATTTTTTTTGTTGGGGGGAGGGACTTGTACTTGTTTTAAGGGGACCAAAAATTTGGAAACATTTCTGTATCCTTTTAGGCCTTTCTGATGGTTGAGACTATACATTTTGGGGCTTTTTATGCGCTTGGAAAAAAAGGGAAATGAATAAACCAAAACTCGCCTTTTTTACATTATAAAAGGAAACTGGCTCAGTTTCTTATTCGGGGAGCGCGCGCTCTCACGTATTTAAGCAGCTTTTCACGGGCCCTACTCCGTCAAAGCCACCGTCAGTAAAGTTCATCACGCTGGTAAGCGCTAGAGCCTTCAATTTCGTGTTGATGCAAAGTTGTACTGATAAAAAGCTATAATGTGTTAGCTAGTCCGAAACTTTTTTAATTGAAAGTCTGAAGAGAGAAGCACACTTTAGCATGTGGTGATTGTGGGCCCTTATATTTTCGACCTCACCACCTTTTCGTAAGAGTCCTTAGGCCAACTGTTCTCCATGGATAATGTCCTGAATCATGTCCAGTCAGGACAGAATTGGATTATTCTTTCCGCTCTCAACCACCTGCAGTAGACATCTGGGTAGAGAAACTTAAATTCAAATCCTCTTCCAGAAGCACGTAACTTAATTGTCTTTCAAAGAGGATCAATCACGGGTCCCATTCAAGTTCCTCTAACGAAAATCTGTCATACCGGTACGGCGCTAAAGGCCATACCCGACTAACACGTTCGGGTACCTCCCATTTACGGCCTAGTTTAGTAGCCAGAAATAAATGTATCAACTGCTTGGAATTGCTTGGTTGGGTGAAATAAAGTAACGTCTTGTAAGACAGTAATAACCCACTTTCAAGTAATAATTATCAACGAATTTTTCTTCCGAAGGCTAGTGTACCGCCAGAGGGCGCATTACTTTGGTTCAGGTCCCTGGGTTCCTTGCTCTGAAACGGGCGTCCAAACGTACGGCTGCGTCTTATACGATAGCTTGTACGTGTTTAGGGACCCAGATGTAGCTCTATCTAGCCTAGCCAACAACAGGTTCGGATGCTGCCAGCCGAAGCCGCATGCACTCCTCACATGCTCGTTGTCCTTTGGTGACTGACAACGACTGAAGCTACGGGTCGCTACCAGTACCTCATTAATCCTACCAAAATGTACCGAGTTTTGTTGGTTTTTATTTTCTTGCTGGGCAGATGTGGATTCCAGCCCTTTGGAGGCCTTGTGAGAGGGGAGAGAACACGGCAGCTTGTAAATTTGGTAAGGTTTCAAAAGCAGAAATGCTTTTTAGGCCTAGCCCCACTACTACCGGTAGTGTGGCACGGACCCTCACTCCCAATTTATCCTTACTTAGCCACACATCCGTATCCGCAATTTCGTGTCGGCGTACTGAACATTTTCGGCGCACCCACTTATCATCGTGGGCGCAATTTCTTTTGCACTAGAACATGATTCTTGACCTTTCCGCTTTCTAAAAACTATTTATTGAATGATTTCACCCACGCATTTTCCAGTCTTTTTGCCTTTATCCATTCAATCTAACGGGCTCACTGCCGGCATCTTTAAAATAGGGTCGTTGAACATTACGTCACTTGACCCCTCATCGTCTCGACGGCTCTTCCATGTCAAGACATCTAAACTACTGCCAAAGGTTTAAAAGAGCCCATTGGTACATGTACATGTAGTATCTTATTACGCAGTCCGTTTATTACATATGCATAGGTGTTATATGCAAAAGGTGTTATCGCCATGGGCGCCATTCGGATGTGTGCATGTACGTTAATGCATAGGCGTAGGTACACCAGTTATGCGTGCCTGACGCAGCACTTGGCCTGTGCATTACAATGTTTTACACATATTAGTTTTACATGTTTAGTTCTCCATCTTGCGCCGCTAAAATATGCGTGGATGTCTCTTAATTTCGGGCCGTACTGTATCTTTGGTATAGACCTTTTCACTAATAAATTCATAATTATGCCCACATGCGCACAAATGGCCTTGGTGGTAAGAAGTGTAAGCGGACCATTGAAAAGGTACAGGAATGTGACTTTGATGATCATTTTCTCTCAGGTTTTCTGGCTTTGTTCATTTTTTTCTTCAGAAAATCCCAGTAAGTTGTTTTTTGCTATTAGTTTCTAGTCTAAGTGGGATTTTTGTACTCTGTAAAAAGACTTTATAATCGCAATTTTTCCTGTGTGCACGAGATCACTGTTTCTTAGTATGGCCCCCTTCCATCATACATGTAAGAGTAGAAATTACATCGTAAGTGTTCTTGGAGCCAGTCTGTGCATTTGTAGACACGTACTGTAAAGATGTACTGGTATTTTTAAATTGGGACTGTACTCGTTCAATGATTGGGAATGAATCGGTGTAGTAAACAAATGGCTGTGTTGAGATGTTCAAATTCACGAACAGAAATAGTCAGAGAATAGCCTGAAATGGTGCATTAATGACCAGATCTGGTGAGTGAAGCTGTATAGGAATAGGAATTGACAAAGGAAGCTTTTTGGCAAAGTCCCCACCTTTAAGGGGGTAGATATATATAGAGCCCAGGATAAGGAGGTAGTCCAGTAGAATCTTCCCAGAATTCCCTCAAATAAAAGTGCATATTTTTATAGATGGTTGATAACATTCTCCTCTTGAATATTCCCCAGCTTTATCGCCATGGTGACAGGACACCTATCAACATCTATCCATCTGATCCACATCGGGCAGATACTTGGCCAGAAGGTCTTGGTCAGCTGACTACAGTAAGTACTATGCTCTACTGAGTGCTCACTGAATGTACATGTAGTTAAATGTATTGGAGATTGCCGTTATCAGTAATGTCCACCCTTCATGTACAGTATGGGATAAGTATGTTGTTATTTCCGGTGGTCAACTTCAACCTTTCCACCTTCTTTAAAATCCACAGGTGAGAGGTTGAGAGGAGTTTGTTGGATTTAGGAAAGTACATGTACATATGTATGTACGTGTAAGTCAATGCATTAACCCTTTCCTTACCATGGGCGACTTTTGTCACTGTGCGGCAACTTGTGCTTCCTTACCATAGGCGACTTTTGTCGATGAGCATATCATGTATTTTCAAGGGTGGGCCTCTAATTCTCATTACGCCCTTTATAGTTCAATTTTATATGCATGTACATGTACATGTAGTTGGAAAGTCCCTTTCATGAGCTTTTCAATGACATATAATAGCTTGGGGGTCACCATTACAAATTTTCGAGAAAACGTCACGTGAATCTTACGGTACGCCTGAACCCAGATTTTGCTCCTGATTTGCTGACATGGATGACTGACATACCTGCATACTCGATGAAATCTTTGCTGATAGTGATTCTGAGAATGATTCTGAGTCTTCTGATGACAGTTCTGAAGAGAAATCTTCGGAATATGTGTTGAAATCTAGCATGTCTGATGACAGCAATGGTCAGGATGATGAGCCTGGTCCAAGCAGAACTTCATCAAGTGATGTCACCGAGCGCAAGTCACAAGCTCCGGGGTTGCTGGTCGCGGTATGCGTGGAGTACATGTTCGTAGTGGACGGGCCAGCGGCAGACATGGCCAGGGCAAAGCTGCAGCTTTGAAGCCCAAGAAACCAAACTTCTGTAGTGGCTCTCAGAAGACTACTAATCATCACTCAAGATCACTGCAATATACAAAGACTCATGGCCCTACCAATGACTACTCAGGTCTGTCAGCCGTGCAGATTTTCATGCTGTACCTCAGTGCTGCTGTTTAGGATCTGCTGGTAGCAGAAACAAACAGGTTCGTATACATATGCTGCCCAGTGTCTTCAGGATGATGCTTAGAAAGCAGCCAAATGGGCTCGCAGCCCGGTAGACGTCCCAGAAATGAAAGCTGTCGTTGCTCTGCTTCTGGCCATAGGTATTAGCAGGATGCCTCAATATTACATGTATTTGTCTACCCTTGAGATTCTACGGAACAGTCTCTACTCATCCATCATGTTGCATAACAAGTTTTCCACCATCCTTCGCTTGCCAACAACGAACTCCCTCGACCCCGCGATGCCAAAAAATAAAAACTCAGGAAACCCCAGCCATTCTTTGACCTTGTCTTGCCACGGTTTCTGTCAGTCTACAAGCCGCAGCAAAAACTCTCTGGAGACGAAAGTATGCGCAAGTTCAAATGACTCGTGAGTTTTGTCCGGTACATGTATATGCCAGAAAAACTGGTTAAGTGGGGTACGAAAGCCTTTTCACTGGACTAGTCAAGGAGTGGGTACATGTGCAAGTGAAAACAGGATGGGAGAACTACCCTGTTGCAGCTCAAGCAAACCAAACTGTTGACACTACGCTAAAATATCCAACAGATTTGTACAAGTACATGTATGTCAGTGGACGTGTTATCTTGGACCTTGTGTACAGTTTTGAGCACAAGGGTCATATCTTGTTTTGTGATGACTATTACCAGTACACAAGCCCAGCACTGGTTTCAATACTTTCTGAGCTTGGTTTTGGATATTACGGAACTGAAAAACACCAGAGTAATGGCATGCCCGAGGAAGCTAATTCAAAGAAAAACGGCATTAAAAAAGGTGATACCCCTGCTTTCTATATGAAGGATGGGCAACTCTGCATTGTCTGGCATGACAAAAAGTCAGTCTGTGTTCTGACAACTGTTGGGGACTGCACAGTGACCAACAAAAGGATCTGATCACGCCACCATGATGACGGCTTCAGAGACGTCGTAAAGCCCAAGGCCATCGAAGACTACAATAAGAACATGGTTGGGACTGATCTGGCTGACCAGTACTTTCAGTACTATTGCCACACTCTTTGCAGTGTGAAGTGGTGAAAGCGGGTGTTTTTTCATTGGCTAGAGGTGTGTTTGGCAAATGCTTTCATTGTTTACAACAGTGTGAAAGACAGCACCTCACTGAGCTCCCTGAAGTTTCGCCAAGCTGTCATCGAAGGGCTACTTCAGGGATGGCAATGAGACCAGGTCATAACATGGACGAATATCATCAAGGCCCAATCTGCCTGCAAGAATCACTGAAAAAGGACACTTTTCATCCAAGACGGACAACGGGCGCTAACTTTACTGTGTGTACCGGGTATGTAACGGTACATGTAGTGACCGGTCACAACCAGGTGGATAAAACAAACATCAATATTGTGTAACAAGTGTGACAAAGCTATGTGCGCTGTGCCACGTTCTTAGCGTTACCACTCATACGTAAATTACAAGGATGACAGGTTGAATTTTCAACTATGGAAAAGCAAGGAATAGAGGGATCCCAATACGACGCTTTTAGTATCGATCTGTGCACTTCTGCGTTTGAAAACGAGGCTGTATGTGTCAGTTTCAATTCTTAAAACGATGAAAGTAAGGAGTCAAGACACAAAATACATAAAGGTATGTTAAATTCGGACTTTTCAGGCTGCTAATTTTTGTGGAAGAGTCTTTCAGGATGACTTAACATGTAAAATCAAAAGAGAAAATAATGGCAATTTACCGCAAACTAACGTACCTGCGATGGTCATGTGTATCTTGTGCAGTGGGCGTTGTTTAAACTGGAGTGGCATCAAACTTACATGTATGAACCGGATACTGCATGTACATGTACTGGGTCAACACCGCGGGTGCGTACGATGAAGTTCAACTTAGGGAGCCTCGGTTTTGATGCGGATATGCACAGACGGCGGTAATTTTCATTTCCTTCATTATTTATTTTTTGTTCATGTGATTTATTCTCGTGTAAATAATATTTTTGAGGCAGGTGTTTCAAAACATTTACATGTATATGCGTTTACAACTGAATTGTCTTGACCAAAACTTTTCTGAGAGTTCACATTTTTGGTTGGTTCGAGTGATAAAACACCAATATCCCTTCAGGTTTACTTGATGAAAGAGAAGAAGAAAATATCATGCAACTCTGTCAGAAAAAGGAAATGTTTTTACAGTCTTTGCCGTGCCTTTACTAGATGACCATCTTGCTAAAACTTGAAATACTATTTTGTGAATGATGTCACAGGTGTACCGGTACATGTAGTTTGTTTTCTCATGCAAATGTACCGGTAATTCAAATTGTTCAGCCCTCAAATATTGGTCAACTTAGATAGCATTCTTTATATTTTCATTACATGATGCACACGTATTTTTCAATTTATATGCAAAGAAATGACAGAAACCCATGTCAATGTCCGACCACTGCATTCACGAAAAGACGTGTTTTCATTTGTGTATGTTGTAACGAGTGCTTGCTGTAGCAAGAGTTTGGATACAAATATGAATGTCAATAAACTACATGTACATGTACTAATGTACATGTATATTTACTTTGAGTTTATAAAAAGTTTTATGTGCTTAATTTTTTGTTTAGTGGGGAGGACTTTAAGGGTTTTTTGGCCTTGAAATATTTGAATAACACATAATGTCATTGGTGATGAAAGATGTTTTCATGAAGGTGCATGTACATGTACCGGTATATACTTTGCAATTCCACTCCAACAAAGAATTATTTATTAAAATATATCAATAAACTCCCGCGCTGCTGCTTGATGACCATGTAGGCCTATGCACATAAACAGAGGCACACATTTCTTGTGTATATTTTCATGTATGTGTACATGTACTGTATATTTGCTGTGGTTCCAATTTGTCCATCGGAATCCCTAGCCTCGATGCTGCATGTTTGAGGCTATTCTGGAAGAGATTGTTGTCTAGAGCTTACACCACTGCTGGAAAGGACGCCATGTTGAATATGCACGCCATTGTAATGATGAATAATTTATTACATGGACCACAGAGGCGATCGTTTTGATTGGTGGAGACTTATGCCTAAGAATATATCGTATCTGCTACTGAAACAGTAGCAAATGTAAAGAAAAACATGAGCTACATGTACATGGGGCAGAACTCCAAAGGTGTTCGGGGCATGCAGTTCGTCGTGTAGTCTTTCTTCGTGCGTTGGTATGGTGCTTAAACTAGTCTCCTCCAGCTCCTTGCTCTTGAATGACTATCCATTTCACCATGGGAACCTTGATCAAAGGCTAGAGGTGACACAGAATGTGCCAGCTACATGTACAAATGTACTTACATGTATTAGGATATGGAATCAGCATCTTGTCCTCTGTGGTTGGTTTTAAACATTTACGTGTAAGATTGGCCGATCGCATACCCTGTATATTTTGCCATTCAGGAATACCTTATGGGTCAAAACGTCGAAACATGTTGAAAGTTACTAACTTTGCAACTATTTTTCACCCAATTTTCACTTCAGTTTTTCTTCAAAATACCCTTCTAGGCATGTACGGGTACATGTCCAAGTAATGGGCTGTCAACCAATTTGAGTAGGAATGGCTAAGCTGTCTTAGGTATTTATAAGTAAGAATTTAAGTAAAGGGAAAGGAGGAATTATTGTTGAAATTAAACACAACGATTCAGACAATTATATTTTTTACATTTTAGCTTGGTATGGAGATGCATTACAAGCTGGGCCAGTGGTTGAGGAACCGCTACATTGATTCTGAATTCTTGAATGCTACATACAACAGAGACTCTGTCCATGTTCGAAGCACTGATTCAGATCGAACACTTATGTCAGCTGAATCTGATTTAGCTGGATTCTACCCACCCCAAGGAAGCCAAATATGGAAGCCAGGATTTGATTGGATGCCAATCCCGGTACACACCATCCCATTGGATGAAGATTATGTAAGAAATTTCTGTGTTTGCTAATGTTTTTCATCAGCTTTTTCTCAAGGAATATTTGTTTCAGATGGTGTGGCCTAAAGTAGAACAAAAAATATTGTCAGCATCAGAAAAGTGTGCTGTTATGCCTGTTCTGAATGATGTTACTGTTGCAAGTTGATTTCCAACCACAACCTACATGTATGTACTTTGCCTACCCTTTCAGCTTGTGATTATAGGATCATATAGTTTTGTTTAGTGCTTTTGATAGGAATTTTACAAGGTACCTGAATATTTAGCATCAAATCTCTATTTGTTCTCTTTCCTGCAGCTCTTGAAGACAAATGGACCACCATGCCCGGTTTATGATGAATTGAAGGCAAAAACGAAATATGAAAAAAAGTACAAAGATTTGGAGGCTCAATATAAGGCAAGACATACATTGTACATGTACATGTACATAACGTACCAAAATTCATTGAAGTGTTTCATTGATGTTCTGATTGCAACTCCAACACCTTATCAACCTTTTTTGCAAATGCTTTTGACTTCACTTGGCGAAAATTTATATAATGGGTTTTGCCCTTACCCAACGTATATATTAATAAGCACTGTATGCTCAGTGTTTGTCCGAGAGCTT